AAATGGACAAGGCTGAAAATGAAGACCCTCTACACTATCCCTCACAGCAAACTGGCTTTCCATGCATTAACATCCAACCCTATTCCCATCATCATAGTCAGGAGGGGCACACAAAGGTTATAACAATTAACATATTTCATCTTGCTAACTTTTGAGCCAAAAATATTTGAGCCAAGTTATAAAAAGTAAGCCTCTATTTGGATTACAGGGCCCAATTCCAAAACCAAAGAATTAGCCTTTCTGGAGAGTTGCATGTTATTTGTAGCTAATCAAATACAGATAATCTTTGAAAGGCTCCCTTTTTATGGGGCTATTTTTGTCCCACGGGTGTGTTAGCCTATACTCTGATTTTAATTCTGATCTGTGAAATCATAACTGTATGATAAATGTATGGCTTTCTTATCAACCACATTTTATTTTACTAAAACTCCTCAGGCCTTTATATTAATGTGATAAATTCTGTTTTAAAATCAAACTTTCATTTTCATTTCATTTCATTTCATTTCAAATTCAGACTTTCATTTCTAATAAATAGCCTCACCTCATGGGGCCACTTTGTTAAATTTTCTCCACCAGCTTCTCAGAAGGTTGCTATTTCAGTCATGGAGCACTATCATCCCCTTAAAACTAACTAAACATCTGCACAAAACAGAGCTGCGTCCAGAGTACCCACAGCCTAATAGTTAAAGAGTCTATTTCCTGATTCAAAAATAATAGTTGCATTTCCAAGGTGATAATTTAGCCAGAGAGGCAGCATTTCATTTATACATTCAGTGAGTAAGTACACAGTTACAGGGCTGTACAAGACCTGTGTGATAATGTGTGTAAACACAGTCCTTTCAGGTGCCTGGGTGGCTCAGTTGGTTAAGCGACTGCCTTCAGCTCAGGTCATGATCCCAGGGTCCTGGGATCAAGCCCCGCATCGGGCTCCCTGCTCGGCGGAGAGCCTGCTTCTCTCTCACCCTCTGTCTGCCACTCTGCCTACTTGTGCTCTCCCTCTCTCTGTTAAATAAATAAAAATCTTAAAAAAAAAAAAACCCTTTTTCAAAAAAATTTGTGTTAGTGTGTATTTTAGGCTAGTTGAAAATAAAGTCAGCAGGGCGCCTGGGTGGCTCATTTGGTTAAGCGACTGCCTTCGGCTCAGGTCATGATCCTGGAGTCCCGGGATCGAGTCCCACATCGGGCTCCCTGCTCGGCGGGGAGTCTGCTTCTCCCTCTGACCCTCTTCCCTCTCATGCTCTCTGTCTCTCATTCTCTCTCTCTCAAATAAATAAATAAAATCTTTAAAAAAAAAAAAAACCACTCCTTTCCCTGGAGAGGTGTACAGTATGATTTGACAGTCAAGATTTTTCTCCCTACAAGACATCCTCCACAGATAGAACACAGGTTACTCTACATGCTTCCAGGGGCTTTGCAGAATCTCTCAATCTACACTTCCCAAAGAAGCAGTGCGGACAAGATGAATTCCCGGGCCTCTGTCCTTCCTCCCTTTCTTCTCTCTCTCTGCCGTTTGTCCACCTCTTTCTCTGTCTATTTCCTCCTCCTTCCCTTGCCCCTCTCTTCCTAGCCCTGCCTGTGAAATACAGACCTTGATGTCTTCTCTTTCTTCCCCCAAATCACATCATTCTCGCAGCTTTATCAACCCTTTGGGGAAAAGTCCCCAAATTTAAGAACTTCAAGTCTATGTGATGTCCCTTAAATTCCTTAAATTCAACCTGATCAAAACGGAATGCCTGATGTCCCCACTAATACCAATTCCTCCACCCTACTTCTTGCTCAGCGAACGGCCCCGGCACGCTCCCTGGGACCCAGGCTGTGTTAAGGACTTCTTTCCTCCCTCTTTTTACTCAGCAGCCCCCAACCCACCCACCTGATCTGCTGCCAGTCACGTGGATTCAGATCTCTTCTGTCCACCACCATTGCCACCAATCCTAATCTAGGCACTTATCTTCCCCTTGAACATTCCAGAATTTTTCTAAGTGGGCTTCCACTTCCACCCTAACCCACCTTAAATGATGCTATTGTATTAACTTTTTGAGAGGAGATCTACATACTCCAGAACCAGAGGGCCCAGTCTCAAACTCTAGCTCTGCTACGTCTTCATTCTGGGACCTTGGGCAAGTTACCTAACCTCTTTGTACCCTAACTCTCATCATCTCTGTACACCAAGGATGATAATAGTACCGGCCTCGTGGAATTGTTGTGAAAATAAAATGAATTCATGATTAATAGTTGTGGGGCACCTAGAACAGCACCTAGCATGCATTTAAACGCTCAATAAATGTTTGCCATTATTTGCCCTTAGCCCAGATCCAGTCATACCGTGGACTGCCCCCAAAACCCATAGGAGTCCAGTGATGTCCAATGAAACGGTGGATCCCCACCCTGGCATTCAGTCCGCACCCCACTGACCTTTCAACTTCATATTGCACATCCCCCTGGGACCTGAATATATACCATGCAAATTGGGGGACTTACTAGTCCCTGAACCCACTCCAGAACCTCCTTCCTCATCCTTGCTGTTCTTGCTCCTGGGATCTCTCCTCTCACATCTCTGCCTGATAAAACTCTGTCCACCCTTCAAACCAACTGTAACTCCATGAAACCCTTTTCTAAACACTTCAACGAAATGTGCTCCCACCTGCCTGGGAACCCCTCTTAGCACAGCGGCTATGCTAACCTGAAGACGGTTCTCTTTCTGTACCTCTCACTGCACTGCTCTCATTCTCCCTACAGGCTTGTGGCTCCTCGAAGGTCATATGTGCATTCATCGTCACCGTATTCTCTCCAGCATCTAGCCATGAGTAGTATGTTGGGGTTACAAAAAAGATGGAATCATGGCTGATCGGAAGCACAGCCACTGCTGTGACACGGTAGCTGGGCAAGTCCAAACCCAGAGAAGTGTACGCTCTGCCCAGACAGGGGTCCTCTTCACAGTTTCAGATGACATCAAAACTCACAATAGAAAGGGGATGGTCTCTCCAGCAAGTCCTTCTTTACAAGACACCAGAAATACAGTAAAATAAATATAAGAGGAATGGGATTTGTCGCCCTATCCTAAAATAGCAACATTAAAATACTCAAAAACCGTTCCTCACCTATCAATACCACAATCAAAAAACCATCGAGCAACTGCGTTGAGTGGCTAAATGTAATTTCCTGCTAGATCTACCATTGAGCCATCCCTAAAGAAGCAACTCAGACCTCAATGACAGAAGCTTGTTCCGTGATGTATTAACAGCCTCTGGCATGTCAGGCACTGCAAAATAGAACATAATGACACATCCACAGTCCCTACCCTCAGACGCACAAGAGGTCCCCAAACCCTAACCTCACAAAAAGAAAGCCACAACAATGCACATTGCCAACAATAGAGTGCTCAGTCACTAAACACAGCTAGCAGTGACGTCATCCAGGTATGGGGTCAGGGAGCAGGCAGCACAGTCCTCCACTGGGTCTAGGGGCAGGGCTGTAATCTGACACCAGGGATTTAGACCTCTTTGCCGCAGCAAAGGACTCTCTCATTCCCACTTTGACTTCAGCCATTCAAGAAGCATCCTGCCTCCAGCACCACTAAGAGCAAAGTCCTGAAGACATCAGTCTCAAGAATCCCTATGATGAAGTGACAGTTAAAGACAGTTTGCCATCAAATAAAAGACAACGCTCTTAAAAGTTGAGAATGCTCTCACTCTTCAAATGCCTTTGTGGTACCCACACATCCTTAGGCAGATCAGCCAAAATCCCTTTTAACCAAAATCCCTTTTAAGGGGACTTGTCCTAGGAAGCTTACTAGAGTCACTATGGTTCATTCAACTATGTTCATTCAATTGCCTGTTTGGTTAAACAACAAGAAAGTCAAATTAAATGTTTAAGTTAAAATATACTGGACTACTCTGAAACACCAGCACTTTTATTTTTTTTTTAAGATTTTATTTATTTATTTGACAGAGAGAGAGATAGTGAGAGCAGAAACACAAGCAGGGGGAGTGGGAGAGGGAGAAGCAGGCTTCCCGCCAAGCAGGGAGCCCGATGCGGGGCTCGATGTGGGGCTCAATGCTGGGCTCGATCCCAAGACCCTGGAACCATGACCTGAGCCAAAGGCAGATGCTTAACAACTGAGCCACCCAGGAGCCCCAACACCAGCTCTTTTAATGAGAACATAATCAAGTCAATTCAGCCTTCCTATTCCTTATTATCTGTTGCTTTTATTGAGTAGAGGTTTATCTCCCTTTAATTAAATTTTTATTGCCCTTAAAGTATTAAGATATCCTTTTCCTCTAAATTAATTGCCTTTCACAGATAACAATTTCCTATTCTTATTTTACACTCTCAAATCCTAATCCCACAGAAGCAAAGTAACCAGAGAAAGTAAATCAGCACTCCTATACCACTTCCTCAAAGACAAAGAAAGTAATACTCGGAAGCCTGGGGCACCCAAAGAAAATAATCCGATAATTTCTCACACAGGTAAAACCTTACTCATAGATATGACTTGGGTACAGCTACCTTCAGCTAAACATGTCCCACTTTCCAAAAACGAGCTGCAGAAACAAAAACATCCTGAGAGACAACAGAAGCCTTGTGAACTGGAAGGCTGAAGCACCTGTAATACACACACTTCCCTGTACTCTGTGGGTGCTCCATAAATACTCCCGGGCTGATTCACAGGCCAATTACAGCGTCGAGCAAGGACAGAGTCTCCCTGGTCCTACTCTGGGGAGTGTTAGGTATCTACGGTTGCAATTTGTGGTGGTGGCAGGAAGAGCACATAGAGAAAAAGGTCTAAAATGACTGGGCTGTTGACAGGGTCACATTATGTTAACTTCGCCTGCACCTCTCCCCAAGCATCTGAGTCTTCAAAAAATGGTGTTGTTATTTTCACCACGGGGGGGGGGGGAGTGCGGAGTGAATAAAACTGCCATAAAGGTGCATAGGGTTCCTTCACCAAAGAGCCAGCCAACAGGCTAAAAAGTTAAGAGGAAAAAAAAATAGAAACTTACTTTTCATAGACCAGCTCCTCATCGATGGAGAAATAGTGGGTATTTACTGTGCTTTTTGGTCTATTCCTTAAAGTAGCAAAATATAACCGATCTGAAAGACAAGTTTAAAAGACGGGAGAAAACGTATGAGAAGTAGGGAAGCTGAACGTGGGGAGTGGTGATAATACACGAAAGATCAAAATAATAACTGCTACCCATTATTTAAAGACCCCATTAACACGTGGAATTCTTGCAGAAACCTGATCTCTCCCAGAAACCCAGAGACCAAGAGCACAACGGAGAGGCGAGAAGGGAGACCCGACTGAGACACTCAGCTGGGGGGCAGAGTTCCCATAATCTTCCCTGTTTCAGGCCAGCGGGAGCAGACAGAAGCTGGGGGTACCCGTAGAACTGGAGATGCAAGTTTGGCTCACAAATCTCCAGACCTCAGCAGCTGCGGAAGGGGAAGAGAGGCGAGCCTGCAGCTCCGAAGACTTCAAGAAGAGGAAGGGAGGAAGAGACAGGGAGGTGTGCCTGGGGGGGTGTCCCGAAAACCAAGAAGAGCAAGAGCGGGATAAAGGAGACCGAAAAAATCTACCGGAGCAGGATCCCCACCAGCTGCTGCGTGCAGAAGCCGGACCGAACCCGGCGCTGTCCCATTACCGGGCGGGAAGGCCATCCGAGGGAGCTGCAGAGGGAACCAGGGACGCAAGAAAGACAGAGAAGCCGGAAGCAGGGGGTCCTCGGGGAGAGGACAGTACGGAGAGGGGACGAGAGCGCGCGCAGCGGCTGCAGGACACCGGAGGCCCCTGGAGAAGCCAGAGGCAGCGGCTGGGACGTAGGGGTTAGAAGTGAAGAGTTGGGGGCGAGGGAGGGTTGGAGGATGCGGGGCGGCTGCTCCTCACCTTTCATGAACTCGCAAGCCCCGATTAGTTCCCCTGACTCCGCTGCCATCTTAAGCGAGATACGCACGGGGGAGGGCTGGGTCGTGGCCAGCTGAGGTCACCCGCCCCCGGGGGCTTCCCCACTGCCCAGGAGCCGGGAAGCTTGCAGTCCCCAACACCGAACCCGCCCGAGAAAGGCAGCAGGCGCCGAAGGCGGAGGCGGCTGGGGGGTCAGCGCGCGGGGCGCCCCGGGAACATTCCGTGGGGAACCCGAGCCCGCTCCGCGCGGGGCGCACACGCCCCAGGCTGTGGCCGCTCCGATTCGGACCCGGCTGCTGTCGCTGCTCCGCCGCCGCCGCGCCAGGGAAACGCAGACCAGCTCTCACGGCCGGGAAAAGTCTTCCCCCCGCTCCCAAAGTGATCATAGAGGAGGAGACGTTTGGCCCCGATCGCGCCCGTGGCTACTCGTGCGGCAGCGGGCAGGACTCCGGTACCCGCGGGCTGGCAGCAGCTGCTCCGGCTCCTCCTTCGCCACCTCCTTTCAGCAGCAACTCTTCCTCCTCCTCCTCCCTAGGTCCGCCCTCAGACCTTCCTCCCCGCCCTCCCTCAGCCCCCTCCACTTTCACGGCTCCGCGGCCATCCCTTAAAGGGACAGCCCCGCTCCTTTCTCGGTGCGGGCCCCGTGCCCCAGTTACCAGGCGCCCCGCGGGTCACTAGGAGCCAGTTGCTAAGGCTTTGTTGCCGTCCACCAATTGCTGTACAGGAAACGGGGCCCTCGGCCCCCGGGAGACGGGCGGGGCTTCCAGACCAGAAACTTATGAATGAAACGGTGGAGTAGGGAGTGGATGTCGGGAAAGGGGCTATTGCGGCTTCATAGGCAAGGATGCGCCCACTAAGTCTTCTCACCCTCTAGATTTTCCTTCTCTTTCACCCCCTCACCCACGTTCTCCTAAACTCTTGCGCTCGCGCGCGCGCGCACACACACACACACACACACACACACACACACACTTAAAGACCTCAGATCTCCGCGCCCCGCCTACCATAGCAGATCTTTCAAGCGTTCCGCATTCCCCCCCACCACTGACTGATCTCAATCTTTATTAAAAATAATAAAAAGAAGCGCTACCTCCTCGCTCAAAAGAATATGTACCGGTTACCTCTACACATACTGGACTTTGGTATAACTTGTGCTTTGTTCTCATGGGGGAAAACGTTCCCACCCGGTCCCCCACGTCCTCTCAGTGGGGCCACCACTGTGGGCACGAAATCATCACAAATGCCCAACCTTTATATTGCTCTGGCCCGTGGGGGGGGGGGCGAGGGAGCAAGGCCAGCGACACAGGAGAGGACCACTTGAACACGGGGGAAATTAACACAAAAGAATCTCTTTACGTAGTCTTAGCTGAAGCGCTGCAGGGAGTGGGTCGTCTCAAAAAAGCCCTTGTCTTGTTTCTGTGAAGCTCCTCATATTGTTTGAACAACTTTGATACAGGGTGCCCGAAGACGCGCCTAATTACAGGAAAGTCCCTTGGATATGAAAATGGCGCTACGGCTCCATCATCAGAAGAGCATGCGCTCTGAGCGGTTTCTCCAGAAACAGAAAGGGATTTGCGCCCGCCTTTGGGAGAAAGGGGGCGCGCGAGTGAAGAACTGCCCCGCCGACTTTGAAGGAGCGCTGTGAGGCCAGCGTGCAGAACTCAACTCCTTGGTCTTAGCTCGTTAGTCCAAAAAGCGAAACAGTAACAGAAAAGAACATCTCAATTCTAATCAAACATGTCCTTGTAAGACAGTAAAAAAAAAAACCTAACATCCAATTCTTTAGACCATATAAATTTAAAGATGGAAGAATCATTGAGAAGCACCTCCTATACCCTATGCCCATACAGCACCGTTTAATCTTCACATGAAAAAAAAATGTATATATATATATATATATAAGAATTTTTAGAACTATAAAAGTCCTGAAAGATGAATTGTAATGAGTGTTTTGCGTTGAGATGCATTCAGTGTCTTACAGGCCACTGGCCATGGCTATGGAGTTCTAAAGGAGGAAAATATCTCTCAAATATGTTGTCCACACTCACACGATTACTTGAATTTTGCCTGATATTCCCCCAGTCTTGGTGTCAACAATCATGTTGGCCAAATCAAATTATTTTTTTGAAAATTTCTAACACTTTTTTGTATGTGAAAGGTGGCAAAGGAAAGCAAAGGAATGTCAACAAACTTAACCCCTTTGTTTAGAAGTCTGAATTCATGGTGGTAATCTGTTTCCAAATTTGCTGATCTAACATTCCTGTAGAATCTAAATTCATTTGCAAATTTCCTAAAAACTTTTCATCTCAGTCTGTATTGGAAAAATTGCATGAAAAAAGAAGTCCACATTCTCATACAACATATAAACTTTTAATCTCACGAAGTCAATATAGTCTAATGAACTCTAAATCTGCATTTTCAGAGAAAGCAGCTTTAATTGAAAACCCTCTTGTTATTTTCTAAAATGAATTTACAAAAACATTTCTTTCACGTAATTCCCTGGCTTAGAAATTTTGGTCATGGGGGTGCCTGGGTGGCTCAGCCATTAAGCGTCTGCCTTCAGCTCAGCTCATGATCCCAGGGTCCTGGGATGGAGCCCCACATAGGGCTCCCTGCTTAGCGGGAGGCCTGCTTCTCCCTCTCTAACTCCCCCTATGTTCCTTCTCTCGCTGTGTCTCTCTCTGTCAAATAAATAAAATCTTTATTAAAAAAAAAAGAAATTTTGGTCATGAAGAGTGAATTATGTTCTGAACAAATAAAAGTTTTTAAAATTAAGAACTCAAAATGAAATCAAGTTTCTTTTTCCTTAGCATATTTACAATATGGGTATTATAATGAAATTCTTGAAGACTCTCTAAGTAATTTTTTAATGTTGCACAAAAGAAAAATAAATGATTATCAGTATAATGAAATCTCTCTAAACCAAAATCCGCACAATCTAAAAGATATGGAATATTCTACAAGGAAAATTGCAAACAAGCTAGTGCATACGCATAGCACACATCCACCTCAAGGTTCTAATGAGATCATAAAATGCTTTATTCCCTCAATTACCATGAGGTCAGTGTTCCTATTGGCTGCAGTTTCATAATAAAGGCATGATTTCAGTCTATGGAGGAAGATAATGGAAGAAACTTCTTTCCAATTGTCCAACTTAATAAAAGTGTTAGGAAATGACTTTAATTTTGAAGAACAATAAAGAAACGTGTTTCACACATAAAGAAAATACTGAGAGAATTAAAATGTCACTCAATGAAGAAAAGGAAGGAATATTATACATAGAAATCTAACAGTTACGTATAAAATTGTCTCAACGACAGTAACTCTGTGAACATCACTTGAATCCTGTCTCTCACACAGTGAGAGGCAGTCTACAGACTATGTGTGTGTACCTGCAGAGCTAGAAAACTCACTGTAGGAGGCAGCTCCAAAATTTGTCACCAAAATATATCTGGTTCTAATTCTGCCCCTTGAAGCCGTACTGAACACCCTTAGTCATTCTTGAACATAACGCCTCTTCAAAAATGCAAAGGCAACTCCCCTGGGCCACTTCTTCCTCTTAGTCTTTCCCAGATTAAAATCCTCATTTCTTTCAACCTTTTCTTAAATTACATGGCTTCAAGTTCAGTCACTTTCTTCTCCAGTGTGTCTATCTCCCTTAATAAGTGTGTCCCAGAACTGAATGCAGGCCAGTGATGACCTAGTGTGACTAGTTCTGAGATCAGAAAAAAGCACTGATAGAAGATTCAGATGAGAAGAAGGCGATGAAAAACGTGAAAGAGCCAAGTTTGATCATTTAGCTACAAAAAGAAGGAAACTATTCTCTGTTGTTGGAGAAGGGTAAGGAAAAAGTTGCTTAGGCTAATCAAAGACCTGACAACTGTGATATTTACATATTCTATTCAAAGTGTCATTTCTTATTAGGATATAGTATGGGAACATGCTCTTTTAGTTGCTTTTTTCAGTCATGCTGATGTTATATGAGTAAGTAAAACGCTATAGAATACCTACTTTGAATTATTTTTTTTTAAGATTTTATTTATTTATTTGACAGAGAGAGATATAGCGAGAGCAGGAACACTAGCAGGGGGAGTGGGAGAGGGAGAAGCAGGCCTCCCGCGGAGCAGGGAGCCCCGATGTGGGGCTCGATCCCAGGACCCTGGGACCATGACCTAAGCCGAAGGCAGACGCTTAACGACTGAGCCACCCAGGTGCCCCCATACTTTGAATTCTTTCTAAAAATCAATTTTCAGTTTAACTGTGAAACAAGGAAAACTGTGCTTCTGAGTAATTTGATATTCAAAGTAATTTGAATTGTTTAAATATTTTGATTCCTTGTCTGGTACCAAAAATAATTTAAAGCAATTTTTAGTTATAATTGCTTTAAATTATTTTATATTATATATTATTATATATTATTACATATTATATATTATTATATATAATAATGCTTATAATATAATAATAGTGTTTATCATATAATTTTAAATATTTAAATAAATATATATAATAAATTATATATATAATTACAATTACAAACTGTTATTACAGAACAATCAAAATACCAAAAATATGTAGATAATGTGACTCATGAAACAGCTGCCCACAGGTGCTAAAATCTTGGCCAACCCAGACAAATTCTGCATCACACTGATAACCAATGCCTGTTTAAGAACTCCAAACCAGAATCAAAGATGGTTAAGAATCTGTTAGGATCTGAGAGATCGGCTAGTTCCAGTTTTCAAACAGGCTCCATAGAGCCTAAGGTAGCAAAGGCCCCACCTAGGGATGGGGGTGGAGAATGATGGATGAGGACACAGGGCTACTACAAAATATTTCACTTGTAAAAATGATGCGGCAGATAGAGGAAAGAAAACAGAAGAAGAAACTGAGGTCCATGGTGGGTAATTAATTTTCTGAAGTCACATAACTGATTGGTGGTAGAAACAAGACCAGTATTCATTATTTGCACTAATACCAATAATCTTTTCTCAATTTTCTCCTAACTTAGCTCATCTTACATTGTTTAGCTCATGGGTTCTTAAACTTTTGAGATGATAAAATGTCAAGCAATAATAATGTATATGCCTAATATTTTCTTCAAATTTTTAAAGGAAATATTGAAATAATTTAAGCTCTGAATGGAAAAATAAGAGATGTTGCATTATCTGCCACTGCTATTGTTGTGATATGGCTTCTATAAAAATCTGAATTATTTTTTCCACTATTTCTTAATAGTATAACCAGTATTCTATAGAACATAGTTTGAGAAATTTAGTGAACATTAAATATAACAACTCAATTCAATAATCGTCTTATCCTTGATTGATGCAGCCAGTAAAGAATGACATCTTTTTAGAATATGAAAGAAAGTTCCATGGCTAGGTCAATATACTTAACAGTGCTCAATTTATTGGCCAATTTGCTAGATTTTTCAAATAGGCTAACAACTCAATACAGTTTTAAAATTTACAGAATTTGGTGCACCTGGATGGC